GAATGGACTCGCCCCACCTGTCACCCCTCAAATGCAATCGACTCGCCCCACCTGTCACCCCTCAAATGGAATGGACTCGCCCCACCTGTCACCCCTCGAATTGAATGGACTCGTCCCACCTGTCACCCCTCAAATAGAATCGACTCGTCCCACCTGTCACCCCTCAAATGGAATAGACTAGCCCCACCTGTCTCCCCTTAAAATAGGACTCGCATCACCTCAGAGTCAATTGAATCGCCCAACCACTCACATCAATGCAGTCGCACAAACCAAACTCGTATCTAACTATAAAACAGTCTTGCTAGAATTCAGAATTTATTTATTTAAGACATCTTTTACAACAGAAAGTCGAGGTGAAGAAATATAATAAAGATAATATAGATAAATATATATAGACTCTTTTCAAATACTATAATAAAGTATGTAATATTGACATTTGGGAATCGTGTTTTTGGTTTGCATTGGAACTTGCTCCTAATATTTTCCCTTTTTGTACTGGGATTTCAATACCAACATTCACTATTTATTATTTAAAAAACAAGGCCTGGAGCCCAGTTACCTTAAAATTCGGTTAAAGTAATATATGCCAAAAAATACCATTTCTATTGTATATCGTGTATACATATGGTGCGGTATTTATGATAGACCAAAAGACGACAATTTGTTTTTGTAATTAAGCAAACATGTTATATCTTAAAATTGACAGATCCAGAATTTAAAATTTTGTGACATACTACACCGCATATTTCTAACAGTGATCTCGACAAAAATATTTGAGTCAATTTCAACAAATGTCATAATTACAATTTCAAAGTTTTTTCTTTTTGCTTTAATTTTAAGTTGTAAAATATATTTCAGACAGAAAATTCCAACTAAAATACTTTGACTTAGAACTGTCTTTCATAACGAATAAAATAGCAGTTACGAAGTAACCGTTTTTCAAAAGGATCAGACATTAATAATAACACTTACAAATGATGAAAATAAAAAATTACTCCCACAATATAAAGTAAATCATTGTTAACAACTTATATTATTTTATTAACCGAACTTTAACCCTGCAACATTGTGAAAATTGCACTTTTACCTTAAAGTTTTAAAGTTGTATTACACAAATACTTTGAAAATTCATAGTGACATTTAAACTGTTATTACACCATAGCACAAAAAGTAAAATTGGAGAGAGGCTGAATGAATTTTAAATAGTATCAGATGCATCCAGTTTGTCCCAATTAAAGTATATTTTTTTAAATGTTTAATTGCTGAGTTATTTGAAAAGGGAACATAATCAACCGCAATTTTTAAGATATTAAAATATGTTTAAATCTGATATGTACGTGACTTAGTCCAAAAATGTTTTCCAAAGTCACAATAAAAGCTCTCCCATTTTCGCCATATTGCATGGGCGCTGCGTGTTCGCTTGGGCGCCTCAGTGTGCCTGTGTTAAGTTCCAAAATACGACTAGAAGGCTTTGGAAGGTTCTATCAGTCAGACACAAGTGCATTTTGGAGAATCACCGCAGAGTTGGTAGTTCTGAAATATCAAAATAACGTTTTAATTACAATGATACCCCAATGCAATTCAATTTGAACTAAGTTGAGATACTGAAAGAACATATTTTAATTAATTAAAATTATAAACGACAAAGATTCTAGTCAGCCCTAAAATACTCTGACTTCTGTCTTTTAGATCTAACAAGGCAGCAAAGCTGTCAAATGTACTGACAAAAAAACAGAAAAAAAAGATGCAGAAATAGGTCATTTTGTCAATTTTGTTGCAACAATAAATAATGCACTCAATCAACACCAAATTTTATCATGAACAACAGATAACATGTGGCCGATCTAGAGATTTTCTGACAGTATTCCAAATTATCTTTGTGGATCCATCCTCCATTTTTGATGATTTTCCAACAGAAAAAAAAGATAGCCTTCAATGTAAACGATATAATCTGACCGTCTTCCAGAAGGCCCAGAAGACGGTCTTAATCCACCCCTGGAAAAAGTTTATTTTCAGGACCACGAGAGTTCAAATTTATATAATGAAAATCACAATATTTGAAAAATGATGACAGTGCATAAAATAATATTACATAATGTTTAAAGACATAAAAACCAACACAAGTGCTCATGTGGAAATACAGAAATATGCACAGAGCTTCTGGTGGATGGGAGTTAAAAGTGACATCTTGAAGATGCTAGTGTTTGAAAAATAATTTTTTAAAAATGTAAAATAAAACTTAACAAAAAAATCCAATAAAGCTGCTATTCAAACTTTTAATCTAGCTGTATAACTCTAACCCTATTGAGTTTGAGAATAATAAGGCACTGTAATTCATCTTTAACATTAATGTTAGCGTTACACAAAATGTTTCTATTGTAAACTTATTTGCAATATTAAACAACATTTACCTGCATAATTATCACCTATTCCTAATTATGTTACAGTTAAGAGGGCTAAACCTATGGGACTTTACAATGAAATCTCAACATGTGTTTTATGTAATCTCATTTAATGGACACTTGAAAATTAATTAAGCAATTACTTTATAACCCTGAATTTAGCTAGTGATTACCCAAGGGACAATAACATACTGACCGCCATCTATATACAGTGGCACCATATAGCACTGCTTTGCTTCCAAAACAGAAAACAATCACACTGATTTTCCAACACTGCATTTCAGTCCTATGAAATTTTCAGTAAGTTTGAGTATCATGATTTACATGGTTTTCCCTTAATGGTCATCCTGGCAGCAGTGTCCAAAATAGGGTTTTCTACAACTTTCATGCAATACAACATAATGCTTAACAGCATAATGACCATCAATTTTTTATAATAGAATAAAAGTATCATGGATATTCAGAAAATGTGACATGGGAAGGTCTTCAAGGCCATGGTAGTTCAGAGTCACACCTTCAAAATGCCCAAATGTAAATAAGAGATAACTGTACTGAAATGATTTTCTTTCCATTTTCAACACCTTATTTTATATATAACAAAATGATCAATTTACTGTCATTTGTAAATGATCAACTAGGAAAATTGTTGACATAGGATAAATATCAATAGAACAATTTTAAATGTCCAATTTGCTTTCTTCTGTGATTCTGAACGTAGTGAATGATTGAATCTGACCAACTGTGCAGATATACACAATACACAATAACAGATTTACCATCATTTTTATATAATTACCTAACAAAATTGTTAAGATGCAGAAAATGTGAAAACAAAAACACCTTTTCCTATCTTATTAGTTCAAAAATGAGGCTGTTAACATGCCTAAAAATTAAATCTGAGGAAAAACACTTATTTTCAAAGAAAGGCATAACTTTACCAATACATAACCAATCTACCTTATTTTTGAATTTAATTTGTATTTCTGTAAGACTGATCTCTCCTGTGAATTTTATGTCAATTGGCCAATCGATTTTTCTTGAAATGTGTTATCGGTGTTGCAAATATGCTGAAAAAATGAAAAAAAAAAAAAAACAGCATAACTTTTATAAAAATAGCCAGATGATGCTGATTTTCGAACTTGTCCTGCATATTATGAATATTCATCAGTTCTGCAAGTTTCAAGCCAAAAGGTAAAACGGTTTTTAACTTATCGTTTTATCGGTGTTGCATATATCCAGAAAAAAGTAAAAAGAAAAACAGCATAACTTCCACAAAAATGGCCCAATCATGCTGAATTTCGAAGTTAGCTTGCGTATTATGAATATTCATCAGTTCTGTGAGTTTCAAGCCAAAAAACAAAATAGTTTTTCACTTATTGTGATATCGGTGTTGCAAATATGCTGAAAAAAGTGAAAAAAAAACAGCATAACTTCCACAAAAATGGCCCGATCATGCTGATTTTCAAAGTTGATTTGCATATTATGAATATTTATCAGTTCTGTGAGTTTCAAGCCAAAACGTAAAACGGTTTTTAACTTATCGTTTTATCGGTGTTGCATATATCCAGAAAAAAGTAAAAAGAAAAACGGCATAACTTCCACAAAAATGGCCCAATCATGCTGAATTTCGAAGTTAGCTTGCGTATTATGAATATTCATCAGTTCTGTGAGTTTCAAGCCAAAAAACAAAATAGTTTTTCACTTATCGTGTTATCAGTGCTGCATATATGCTTAAAAAAGTGAAAAAAAACAGCATAACTTCCATCAAAATGGCCCGATCATGTTGATTTTCGAACTTGACCTGTGTATTATAAATATTCATCAGTTCTGTAAGTTTCAAGCCAAAAACCAATCAGTTTTCCACTTATCGTGTTATCGTGCTGTATATATGCTTAAAAAAGTGAAAAAAAAACAGCATAACTTCCATCAAAATGGCCCGATCATGTTGATTTTCGAACTTGACCTCTGTATTATAAATATTCATCAGTTCTGTAAGTTTCAAGCCAAAAACCAATCAGTTTTCCACTTATCGTGTTATCGTGCTGTATATGTGCTTAAAAAAGTGAAAAAACAGCATAACTTCCATAAAAATGTCCCGATCATGCCGATTTTAAAACTTGACCTGCGTATTATAAATATTCATCAGTGCTGTAAGTTTCAAGCCAAAAAGTAAAACAATTATCCACTTATCGTGTTATCGGTGAAAGTGCACGGCGACGACGACGACAACGACAGACGCAGGTGACAGCTATATGTACAGACACATCTGTATCCGTACATAATAAAAATAGCAGTTATAAATTACTCGTCATTCAAAAAGATCATACATTAATAATTACATTTACAAATGTTGAAAATAAAAATTACTCCCACAATATAAAGTAAATCATTGTTAATAAAGTATATTAATTAATTACCCGAACTTTAACCTGCGACATTGTGGAAATTGCACTTTTACCTTTAAGTTTTTAAGTTGTGATACACGAATACTTTGAAAATTCACAGTGACATTTAAACTCTTATTATACCATAGCACAAAAAGTAAAATTGGAGAGAGGCTGAATAAATTCCAAATAGTGTCAGATTCATCCAGTTTGTCCCAATTAAAGTATAATTTTTAAAAAATGTTTAATTGCTGAGTAATTTGAAAAGGGGACATGATCAACTGCAATTTTTTAGATATTAAAATAAGTTTAAATCTGTTATGTACGTGACGTAGTCCTTAAATGTTTTCAAAAGTTACAATAAAAGCTCTCCCTTTTTCGCCATATTGCATGTGCGCTGCGTGTTCGCTTGGGCGCCTCAGTGTGCCTGTGTTAGGTTCCAAAATACGACTAGAAGGCTTTGGAAGGTTCTACAGTCAGACACAAGTGCATGTTGGAGAATCACCGCAGAGTTGATAGTTCTGAAATATCAAAATAACGTTTTAATTACGATTTTAAAATGATACCACGATGCAGCACAATTTGAACTAAGATGAGATACTGAAAGAACATATTAATTAAAAACGACAAAGATTCTATTCAGCCCTAAAATACTTTGACTTGTGTCTTTTAGATCTAACAAGGCAGCAAAGCTGTCAAATTTACAGACAAAAAAAAAAAAAAAAAAAAAAAACAAAATAAATAAATATGCAGAAAATAGGTCATTTTGTTAATTTTGATGCAACAATAAATAATGCAGTCAATCAACACAAAATTTTATCATAAACAACATAACATGGAGCCGATCTAGAGATTTTCTGTCAGTATTCCAAATTATCTTTGTGGATCCATCCTCCATTTTTGATGATCTTCCAACAGAAAAAATGTAAATGTAAACGTTAGAATTTGACCGTCTTCCAGAAGGCCCAGAAGGCCCAGAAGACGGTCTCGATCCCCAAAAAGACCTGCAAAAAGATTACTTTCAGGACCACGAGAGTTCAAATTCATATAATGAAAATCACAATATTTGAAAAATGATGACAGTGCATAAAATAATATTACATAATGTTTAAAGACATAAAAACCAACACAACTGTTCATGTGGAAGTACAGAAATATGCACAGAGCTTCTGGTGGATGGGAGTTAAAAGTGACATCTTGAAGATAATAGTGTTTGAAAAAATAATTTCTTTAAAATGTAAAATAAAACTTAACAAAAAATCCAATAAAGCTGCTATTCAAACTTTTAATCTAGCTGTATAAGTCTAACCCTATTGAGTTAGAGAATAATAAAGGCACTGTTATTCATCTTTAACATTAATGTTAACGTTACACAAAATTTTTCTATTGTAAACTTATTTGCAATATTAAACAACATTTACCTGCATAATTATCACCTGTTCCTAATTATGTGACACAGTTAAGAGGGCTTAACCTATGGGACTTTACAATGAAATCTCAACATGTGTTTTATGTAATATCATTTAATGGACACTTGAAAATTAATTAAGCAATTACTTTATAACCCTGAATTTAGATAGTGATTAACCAAGGGACAATAACATACTGACCGCCATCTATATACAGTGACACCATATAGCACTCTATAGAACTGCATTGCTTCCAAAACAGAAGACAATCACACTGGTTTTCCAACACAAGCTGCACTTCAGTCTCATGAAACTTTTCAGTAAGTTTTAGTAGCATAAGTAATATGGTTTTCTCTTAATCGCTATCCTGGCAGGAGTGTCCAAAATAGGGTTTTCATGTAATATAACATAATACTTAACAGCATAATGACCATCAATTTTTTTTTTAAATAAAAGTATCATGGATATTCAGAAAATGTGATATGGGAAGGTCTTCAAGGCCATGGAAGGTCAGAGTCACACCTTCAAAATGTCAAAATGTAAACAAAAGATAACTGTACTGAAATGATTTTCTGTCCATTTTCAACACCTTATTTTACATAAAACAAAATGATCAATTTACTTTCATTTGTAAATGATCAACTAGGAAAATTGCTGACATAGGAAAAATATATATAGAATACTTTTAAATGTCCAATTTGCTTTATTCTGTGATTCTGAACGTAGTGAATGACTGAATCTGACAAACTGTACAGATATACACAATAACAGATTTACCATCATTTTTATATAATCACCAAACAAAATTGTTAAGAAGCAGAAAATGTTAAAACAAAAACACCTTTCCCTATCTTATTAGTTCAAAAATGAGGCTGTTAACATGCCTAAGAATTAAAACTGAGGAAAAACACTTATTCACAAGAAAGGCATAACTTTACCAATACATAACCAATCTACCTTATTTTTGAATTTAATCTGTATTTCTGTAAGACTGATCTCTCCTGTGAATTTTATGTCAATTGGCCAATCGATTTTTCTTGAAATGTGTTATCGGTGGTGCAAATATGCTGAAAAATATGAAAAAAATAGCATAACTTTTATAAAAATATCCCAATGATGCTGATTTTCGAACTTATCCTGCGTATTATGAATATTTATCAGTTCTGCAAGTTTCAAGCCAAAAGGTAAAACGGTTTTAACTTATCGTGTTATCGGTGTTACATATATCCAGAAAAAAAATTAATAAAAAACAGCACAACTTTCAAAAAAATGGCCCGATCATGCCGATTTTCAAACTTGATTTGCGTATTATGAATATTTATCAATTCTGTAAGTTTCAAGCCAAAACGTAAAACGGTTTTCCACTTATCGTGTTATCGGTGCTGCATTTATGCTTAAAAAAGTGAAAAAACAGCATAACTTCCACAAAAATGTCCCGATCATACCGATTTGAAAACTTGACCTGCGTATTATAAATATTCATCAGTGCTGTAAGTTTCAAGGAAAAAAAAAGTAAAACAATTATCCACTTATCGTGTTATCGGTAAAAGTGCACGGCGACGACGACGACAACGACAGACGCAGGTGACAGCTATATGTACAGACACATCTGTATCCGTACATAATAAAAATAGCAGTTATAAATTACTCGTCATTCAAAAAGATCATACATTAAGAATTATATTTATATTTTTGTTGAAAATAAAAATGACTCCCACAATATAAAGTAAATCATTGTTAACAAAATATATTAATTAATTACCCGAACTTTAACCTGCAACATTGTGGAAATTGCACTTTTACCTTAAAGTTTTTAAGTTGTGATACACCAATACTTTGAAAATTCACAGTGAAATTTAAACTCTTATTATACCATTTCACAAAAAGTAAAATTGGAGAGAGGCTGAATAAATTCCAAATAATGTCAGATTCATCCAGTTTGTCCCAATTAAAGTATAAGTTTAAAAAATGTTTAATTGCTGAGTAATTTGAAAAGGGAACATAATCAACCGCAATTTTTTAGATATTAAAATATGTTTAAATCTGATATGTACGTGACGTAGTCCTAAAATGTTTTCAAAAGTTACCATGAAAACTCTCCCATTTTCGCCATATTGCATGTGCGCTGCGTGTTCGCTCGGGCGCCTCAGTGTGCCTGTGTTAGGTTCCATAATACGACTAGAAGGCTTTGGAAGGTTCTATCAGTCAGACAACAGTGCATTTTGGAGAATCACCGCAGAGTTGGTAGTTCTGAAATATCAAAATAACGTTTTAATTACGATTTTAAAATGATACCACGATGCAGCACAATTTGAACTAAGTTGAGATACTTAAAGAACATATTAATTTAAAAAGACAAAAGATTCTATTCAACCCATTCCATAAACTTCACAATTAAACTTTTGAAAAAATTATTGACGAACACACACAAGCAATATTGAACTGAAATTACAACATTGGAGATGTACTGGTATGTAAATTATGCTATTCAACCCATTCCATAAACTATACAATTACATTTTTGACAAAAATTATTGACAAACACAAAATATTAAACTGAAATCACAATATGAGGGTTGTATGTAAATTGTCCTATGACACTAGGACATTTGCCGTACATTTGCCTCGGTTTTCGGCCTTACATGCAATACCGGTAGGTAGGAGACTTTACAGCACATAAATGGGAATCATACACTACAAGGTGCGACGGAGGACACACACGTTTTGACAGGGTGTGGATATTTGTAACAATATTTGTATCTGAAGAACCAAGCGACTTGAGGCTTTACCTACAGTATGGGTACCTACATTGTAACATATAAGGGTGAAAACTTCTGCAAGCCGTATACTTGTAATGTTTGTATATAATTGACAGCCACGGGTGCATAAGGAGCGGGGTGTGTTTTGTAGAGTGACTGAGTTGATTGACATGCTCTTATGATACTTATACGACTGCGTGCAATGTAAACGGGGAGAAGCCCGCTAGAGGTAGAAACAGAAATGAAGAAGGTGGCGCGGGTAATAATTGAAAAGTACTGTAGTTAATAAATAATATGAAAGATTATAACAGGGTTATAGTAACAGTAACAGATAAAGTCAATACCATCGTAACACATGGTGAAGGATGCAAAATGAGAAAAACAGACGTTTGACATCACGAGTCTTGTCGGAAAGAGGGAGAAAGATCATCGGACGAAAATACGCAAACGAGCACAAAATATCCGGATATTATTGCACTTTGTTTCGGTTTAGGGCTCCTGAACTTACTGTCTAAATCATTTCAGATGATGCACCATAATTCTATTGTAAGAATACCGGTTTTATTTCCCCCAGTACCCCCTTGCAATGTCAAGACTCCCCACGGGGATAGATCGATCTAAAATCTATGGGAATGCGCCCTAAGATTATGATTAATCTACCTAATTTGAGGTCCCTTCAATGAAGTTGCGTTTTTCGAGTTGCAAAGAATAAATTGTATCTCAGTTGTATCTCAATTATCACTGGCATTTCAACGATCTCCTTAAAATGATCTTGTCAGGTGATAATGCGGTTAAATTGGCAATCAAAAGATCGAGTGGTGCAAATGCTATAATGGTAAAAAGGTTTTAGTGGGTATTATTTGATACGTCTTGAGGGATAATATGGTTAAATGTGACGGTCACAGTTACGGATATAACTAGATATATTGTTGAGGTGGAAAACGCATGCGCATCATATACGGTAAATACCATGATCTGGGACGACAGATAAATACTATGATCTGGGACGCCAGATAAATACTATAATCTGGGACGCCAGATTAAGTTATTATTATTTTTATTATTAGTACAAGTACTGTTCTTGGAAACATTATCATATAATTAGCATGGTTATATACACGTATTGTTGTTATCATGATCTTCTACATGAATAATACTATGGCAAGTAAACTTTGCCTGATATTGAATTTTGGGGATAACTGTTAAGGTAAACATGGTTAATTGTTTTCTTGACATGCGTTTCTGCGTCATTTGCATTGGATATATTCGGACATACACATTCATGGATATAAAGGAAACTGTGAATTTTTATCTTTACATGCGCCAACGTACGCGAATAAGACGTTTATAAATTCTACAATGAATGACAGATGGCAATCGTTATTCACTGTCTAGAAGGACTAATTTGGCATTATATGGAACTGAACTCTCGTGCTAAAGTATAATTCAAAATGGAGGGATGCAATGGACTATGCCAAATGGAAACTTTTCATTTGTGTGAAAATGAACTTTAAATTTTATGAGTTAAATTTGAGTCAAATGTTATTGCATGTGGTTATAATGACACATTAAGACTTGTGCACTGAATACTAAATACGTGAAGTATAATACATATATCTATATTCAGCTAATCAATCTTAAAACTAGAAAAGCACTCCGAGAGCGCAGACCTCCGCCAAGTCAGCAAATTTTATTATTATTGATAATTGATTGATTATTGATCCGGATCACCACCAAAAACTAATCACTTCTAAGTTAACCCACTTCCCACCTACTTGAAAATTTCATCAAAATCGGTCCATAACTTTTTGAGTTATGTTGATGACAAACAAACAGACAGACAGACAGACAGAAAGACAGACAAACAGGGGTGAAAACATAACCTCCTTGGCGGAGGTAATTATTAGTTACCGATATTTCATCTGACAGTTTTTGGTATATTAACAGTATAAGGTATTACTATTATGTTTTTTGGGGGGAACGATGATGACATGAAACTAATGATATAAACATTAAGAGAGCTTCTCACATTTTGTGACCTAATTATTTCTCGGTATATTTTCATTAAAGCGTGGATTGAACTTGATATAAAACAATTGTTTTTCTTATAGTCATCAAAAAGGAGTGCTATAGTGTGGATTTATATGAAGACGAGCAGGTATTTCCTTAACGTTGGGTTGAATGCTATTCATTGTGCAGGAGTAGCTAACCCTCTTGTCTCACGTACATGTAGTGCATTTCTACTATATCTAATACGGCAACTGAAAAGGGGGGAAACTGTATGAGAAAATGTGTCAGAGCCATAATAAGAGAGTAACAGATTAAAACATCCGCGCAGGAAAAACAAATAAAAAGTATCTGTGCTCTTGGGCCACACATAAAAAGGTGTAAATGCACATCCACGGACAACTGTATTTTCCAAAAAGTTATCAATCTATCTTCCTTTGAGTTATATTGTGGGTTTCATGTCTAAAGTGTTCCTATTTTATCCTTAGTTTTTATAAAGAATTCGTTTACTTAGCCATATTCTTGAATGACTTTCTGATAAAAATGAAGTGTTTAAGAATGATTATTTGAAGGTATATTTTACTTTTAAATATGGCTAGGGACAGGCATAACGTCCCTGGGAGATAATGTACTGTTAGTACTGACAGCCACGAGTGAATAAGAAGTGGGAAATGTTTTACAGACTAACTGAATTTATTGACTTGACGTCGTCGTGATTATAAGCAGAGAATGTAATGTAAAGGAAAGAGAACAATGTAAGAGGTTGAAGGGAGAGGAAGAAAATGTAGATGGTAGTCGGGAAGTGACAATAAAGAATATGAAAGAACATGAAAGTTGTTTAGTTTTCGCCTCGCGTAATCAGTAAGATAAAGTTAATACCTTCGTCACATATTTACATACACCGGTACAGACCCGTGCATATGCACTGTACATGCACAACATTATCGAATGATGTAGAATATGTTTTACTTACAAAATATGCGTTCTTCAACCGTGGTTCCACCAAACACGTACACAGTAGGTCCGAGCTTCAACGCCAAATAAAGTAACTTCACCACACCTATCCATGCAGGTCATCTTGGCACCAAGGTCCAGCTGTCGAGTGACCAGCCAGGAGCATTGCTCGCACTGTGACACGTGACTTATTGTTATGCAAATTATAATTGGTGCGGCGTAGTGCACATCTTGATCTAGGAGTTGCTGTGGAAATCAGTCTCAAGGAACAGTGAAACTATAGAATATTATTTTACTATTGTGACAAGGCTATAACCTTTTGTCACCAAACTACATATTTCTCAAGGACAACAGTTTATATTAAATAAAATAAAAAATAAATCAAGGACAACAGTTTACATTTAATAGAATAAAAAATAAAGATAACAATGAAGATAGATATAACAAGTCAAATATTATATAGTAAAGGATAACGCTCATACATTCCTATTGTGGTCAATCCCCCCCAAAAAAGTGAAGAATAGTTTCTCTTTCAGTATTGAAAAACTCACGCTGCACTGATTCTTTTTCCAAATTTTTCTAAAGATAAACATTAGTACTGAATATTGTTTGATTTATTCTGAATTGGAGCGTCTGCAGTTTCATGTCATCTGTTTCTTGGAAGCGGGATCTAAATATCAGTTGTCAATTATCATTACTTAAATGTTTTTATGGGAGACCGGGGCTAGTTGGACCCCGGGGTAAGTTGGCCCCCCGTCAATTTATGAAAAAGTAACTAAGAGGTAGAAAAATTGGCCACATACTCTTGTAAAGTGACCGTAGCCTACAATGCTAAGGAAGTGTCGGACGTTAAAAAGTTTTACTTAAGCGGTGAGTCGAAATAAACGATTTTTGCACCTAAAAGTAGTTTTGTTTAAGAGATTTAAAAATCTATTTCATAGGCTTTTGATCAAATATAATATATGTATAGGGCATCAAACTGAAGCTCATTGTTTCACAGAGATGTATCATCGTTGCTCATTCTAGCACCATAAATGGCTGCCATCCTTTAAAATAAAAAGTGTGCACCCGGGGCTAGTTGCCCCCCTTGACTCGGGGCAAGTTGGACCATCATATTACCCACAAACCTGCGCAACAGAGCTAGAGACCATTGTTGAAACAAACTCGATGGTTTAAAACTGAATTTGTTCCTTTCTTTTAAAACGAAAATTTATTATTCGCTTTCATTCATTAAAAACCTGCTTTATACCATTATTAATTTATTCTTTATTGAAACAAAACAAATTCTATTGATAGATATTTTGGTTCTTGCAACACATAGACCCCCCTACAACGTGACGTACGGAAACCTCAATAAATCTGCCTCATTTGAACTATTTATTCATCAAAGAATCTCAAAAATCAATTTAATAAATTAAAAATGTATAAAAATGTAATTCAAGGCGTTTACATGGTAAATTTACTTCATTTTTGTATAGGGGGCCAACTTGCCCCGACCNAAAATCAATTTAATAAATTAAAAATGTATAATAATGTAATTCAAGGCGTTTACATGGTAAATTTACTTCATTTTTGTATAGGGGGCCAACTTGCCCCGACCCTGGGGCCAACTTGCCCCGTGGCCCCCCTGACGTCAACTGCGTTTTTTGTCAAATTGTGAGCCATCTAGCATTATATTTGAAAAACAATGACGTTGCATACGTAGCTTAGTTCATGGGGCTTACTTTAAAACCGGTTTTGTTACTCTAACTCATTCCTAGTTGGCTCTACAAGGCTAAAAGTGTCTAACTGGGCCAACTAGCCCCGGTCTCCTCTCGCGTACCGTTTATCTGCACTTAAATATGGTGATATTATATGGTCTTGTTTTTACTGTAAGTTTATACTGTAAATTACAGTTAAGTTTCATTTTTTCTGATATCGGTAAGAGCTCCTTTAATCTACTTATTTTCCCCATCTTCAATCCTCAAAAACGCTCAAAATCCCGCAATTATACAAACGCAGTGTTGATATTTCCGTCTAAAATGTCAAGGAGACGAGCCCAGGATGATGGTCTAATTGAATCGTGATTCGTTTAGAATTCAGTCATTTAACAAGAAAAAAGGTATAAAACATCCACTTCAAGAACAGTGGCACGTCGAGCAAGGATTTCTGGGGAGCAGGAAATAGCAATTTTCTTGAACAAAATGAGATTTGGTGAGGAAAATACCGATTGTATAGACTGCTCTTAATACTGGTGCCACTGCATCTTCAAAATAATTCGAACATTGCAACTTGATTATAATAGGGAAATAAGCGCGTTAATTTTTTTACCCTATGTAGGAAGGCTTTCCTTATTCGCACGTTGTGTTCTTTACTTTTTTTACAGCTATTATATCAAAGGACGTGTGCACTGAAGGCTAGCTGCTTTACACTGACTGAGTATTTCTAGAAGAAAACTTCTACTCTAGAATAAAATCCCATACAAAACACCCTAGTGATTAATCAAAGCAGGAAAAAAATTCAGAGCACTTGGTGCCCAGCGTCAAACAAGAAACAACCCTAATAAGTTTTTTTTTTTTTTTTTTTGTGCCATTCTGGCACAGATTAACAATGTTGTAGAACACTACTTGGGTTATTTACGCAATGCAAAACCGATCGCTTGCATGCAAAATTTCAAATTCTTCTTTGCAATAATTGCTGACATATGCATACTCTTTGGACAGGCCAATCGGCAATCCTCGGCTCATTCCGCAAGCTCCATACTAACCTCGGATGTGATAGGCGGAGAAATATGCACCAAATCAGGTCATTGTCGAGTGCGGAGACATCCGAGTAGTTCCGAGTGTGGACAGGCCCTACCCTAGGTTCTAGATTTCAGTTTTGCCAGCTCGATCTTGATTTCATATATAACCCGTATCAGCAAAACAGTAAAGCGATCCCATGACAAGGTACGAATAGTTAACAAGCTAGCTTTACTGTGCCCTGACACTCAGGATAGACAGAACCATGCTTCGCCAAAGCTTTGAGCCCACAGGAGCACTACCTATATCTATTCTCTATAGAACTGCCTCGTTGTAATGACTGTTTTAACTTTTATTATTTTTTATTTTTTATCTTATGGTTGAGACTTTAATAAAATAAACTGAACTGAACCCAAATAAACACTGCATATTACGCAATGCAGCAGTGCTACAGCCAAGGTAGTCAGTTTATTGGTTGCGACACACCTGACTGCAGACCTCTCCATTCACTCATATTACCCTTTTTGAGATCTAATTTTTTTAAAGAACGCATTTTTACTATTCTATAAATATACTTTTAATATTCCATATTTAATGTTAATGTCAAGTTAGTATGTGACTCCCAGGACGGTACAGGGGTACATAGATAGATATATAGATAGATAATTTGTTCCAACCGGAGCAGAAGGTACAAAGTATTTTTACAAACCCAGATTACACGGAATACATATGCAATCAGCGTAACAACAACACATTCATAATCATACTCAAGCTGGTCGACTCAGCGTAGCCTTAATACATGCTAATAAAACGGTAACGTAATGTTAGCATTAGCAATAAACAGTTTACAGCATATATCAAACGACACACGTTATGCGCAGGTCCGCCTTTCCAACGATTTTCTACCGAGCTAAAATCTAACATAGATATTCCTTGTGTATAGAGCTTGTCATAGGACCGAAATACAGAACATGTTCCACTGTTTGGGTTTCACCGGAACCACAGATACATTTCCGTGCCTCTAATGGGACGCGGGACCAGCGGGATCTCTCCACTGTCAGATCGTTAATTTTTTTACCCTATGGAAGAAGGCTTTCTTTAGTCGCATGTTGTGTTTTTTACTTTTTTACAGCTATTATATCAAAGGACGTGTGCAATGAAGGCTAGCTGCTTTACACTGACTGAGTATTTCTAGAAGAAAACTTCTACTCTAGAATAAAATCCCATACAAAACACCCTAGTGATTAATCAAAGCAGGAAAAAAGTACAGAGCAATTGGTGCCCAGCGTCAAACAAGAAACAACCCTAATAAGGTTTTTTTTTTGTGCCATTCTGGCACAGATTAACAATGTTGTAGAACACTACTTGGGTTATTTACGCAATGCAAAACCGACCGCTTGCATGCAAAATTTCAAATTCTTCTTTGCAGTAATTGCTGTCATATGGATACTCTTTGGACAGGCCAGCTCGATCTTGATTTCGTATATAACCCGTATCAGCAAAACAGTAAAGCGATCCCCTGACAAGGTAGGAATAGTTAACAAGCTAGCTTTACTGTGCCCTGACACTCAGGGTAGACAGAACCATGCTTCGCCAAAGCTTTGAGCCCACAGGAGCACTACCCATATAAACACTGCATATTACCTCATATTACCCTTTTTGATATCTAATTTTTTTAAAGAACGCATTTTTTACTATTCTATAAATATACTGTTAATATTACATATTTAATGTTAATGTCAAGTTAGTATGTGACTCCCAGGACGGTACAGGGGTACATAGATAAATAGATAAATAATTTTTCCAACCGGAGCAGAAGGTACAAAGTATTTTTACAAACCCAGATTACACTGAATACATGTGCAATCAGCGTAACAACAACACATTCATAATCATACTCAAGTTGGTCGACTCAGTGTAGCCTTAATACATGCTAATAAAACGGCATCGTAATGATAGCATTGGGACAATAAACAGTTTACAGCATATATCAAACGACACACGTTATGCGTAGGTCCGCCTTTCCAGCGATTTTCTACCGAGCTAAAATCTACCGAGTTGCAATAATTCTCTCAAACTCGTACTAGTATTTAATATATATGTCCAAGCTGTGCGTGAGGCATTCAGAAAACCAGAAAGCAACCACACACACACACACACACACGCACAAACAAAAAACAAAAAACTTTCTCCTAGTAGGTGAATAAAATCCCTTAAAACTGGAATCACCCGCAAAAATAACGGAGCAATTTATTTGCTTGTCGTGCTCAGGGTATTTAAGAACATGATTGGGATGATTGACGAGATTTCCTTGCGAAATGTCAGGAAGATGTATGGCGTGTGGTGATGTAAATGGATTGTCATTCGTTAATTACTTAGTTA